TACGGCATAAAGCTTACTACTTCTGTTGTATTTCAGGATTTACCGTAAAATTTCGCCGTTTTTCAATTCATGTTAATCACACGTATCGATCCTAAAACAAAGTGCCATTTCATTAAAGAATCGAAACGCTATGCTGAGAGGAAGCTGCCATACGTACCGTACCGTTTTAAACATGATGAGGGCACGTCGTATCTACCGCAGGACCCAATCTCCGTCCCGCATTAGTTCCATCGATAACGATATGTCTCGAACACACACTCATTCTCATTTCAGCCATGTGCACACCGGCTTAATCGTTACATAAGTGCATCACGAAATGCTGGTCGCGATCTCTTTATGAACGAGGAGATAATCGCTTCAATTAAGCTGCTTTCTCGTGGATTCCGCATGCATGCGTGCATGCGTGCGTGCGTGCGTGCGTGCGTGCGTGCGTGCGTGCGTGCGTGCGTGCGTGCGTGTACGTCCCGTCCGGGTAGATTCCATGACGTTGCGATCGATATCAATAATGTCCGCATGTATATAAAGTATATCGATATTGAATATAAATTTCGCAGGATCTTTTATCAGACGAGTCGTTTAATATAAACGTGTCGGATTTTATCATTAATCATCATTTACCGGATCTTGCAGCGAGACGATCAAAATTGGAGTGCATTATTTTCAAATTATTTCGCCGATGAACAGATTGGGGACAGGATAAAGATTGCATTCATCCGATGTGCTGATAATGTCCGAGGAAAATCTATGAAAACAAATCGTGACGCGAGCATGGAACCTGCGCAGACCTCACGCCGATATATCGGATTTTCATCGGTTTTTTATCCTTCTCTTTTTTTATATACGAGTATATAAAAAAATATTACATTCCGCTCGCCGACAGTATTGGTTATTAAACGCTTTCGAATGAATACTGCATGAGCACGCCGCGCTCGAGAATACAACGTCCGTGTGTTGTATCCACTCGCCTGTGCGTGGGCACATGCACACACTCGAGCACGATCTGCGACTGGCGTTAAATAATTTTTTGCTTTTCGCAAAGTGAAAAATGTGATATCCGTAAAAAGTAATCCGCTTGTCCGAACGGTAATCGGATGAACCGATTTAGATTGGACATACACTCAAACGCAAAAGTCTATGGAATCTAAGAAAACTGTGAAAGGTATGAAATTGGGAATTAATATCATTATCCATTTAGATTTTCTTGAGAGATATACTCGGTAATTGAAGAGGCAATGGAGAGTTGAAAAAGAGGCGACGTGTGTGAGAAGCATGTCTAAATATACAAACGATCCCGACGTTTTTCTCGCATTTACTTTCGTGTGCAATGTCGACCGTTTAACACGACAACGAGACAGATCGTTGCTTTATCTTTTTTATTATTCTTTCACACAAAAACGTTCTTCTCTGATTAACAAAATTAGCAAGCGCTTCTAGAAACTGTAAATGAGCAGATCAAAAAGCGAATGCACATACTGCATTCCTTCAGATTTTTTTAAAAAACTTTGATAAGAGATAGAATTAAAATCTCAAGATTTTTTACAATAATGTAAATCATGAATAATTTTGATGTTTATTTAAAAATCTAAAGTCTAAAAAGTTTATAAATTAAATTTTAGAATTTAAAAAAATGAGAAAATATTGCAGTTTTTGTTTCACTTATCATTTATCTTATTTATTTAATTATGGCAATTAATCAAAGTTTTGCAAAGATCATCTTTAAAGTAATGAAAAAGTAATCAAAAAGAAATGCAATGATGAAAAGGAATGCAGAAAATTATGTTAAGAATTGCAAACAATCTTATTGTATATAAAATAAATACGTAGCGCGCGCTTCGGACAGTCTTCTAGTTGAAAAGATACATCGTTAGTTATTGCTGTAATTACTTGAATTAGCATTATTAAACGTATTCGTGACAGAGCAACAGAAAGCTTCTAGTCTATTCTCTCCCGAGTACTTACTGTTAATCCTGTATCGTGAAGTTTATGAGATTTGTGTTTGTATACTATTCTCACAACGACAAACGAGTGTCTAGACTTTCCGTTTACCACGGAAAAGTTCAAAATTACCTTTCCGGAGGTATTACCTACTACAGCATTCATTCATCATTCACAACCTGTCGTCTGAACTGTGACTATTCCAACTAATTTGGTCCGCGCATTTCTTTCCGCAGAGTCAACGAGCGCCAAGAAAAGCCCGCAGCTCTGTTTGCTTTTGTTCTTCTGAACTATTTCCAATTTGTTTTCTCGAAGCAGTCAGCAACTTGAACAAGCTAGATTCTTTTGTCGAACATCTCGTTTCTCGCTCGTATACAAATAAAGTAGATCGGTAGATTGACATTCACGAGTATTTTAGTATTATTTATTCATTTAGAATTTATCTTCACAGAAACAGAATTATGATAATAAGAGATAGGAATGGAATTCTCATATATTATATTAGAATCATTATTATATATTTTATTATATTTATTATATTTTTATTATTATATTTTTTCATATTTAAGTCTTTGTGATCGAGTGTATGACCGATCTAAACAGTTTATCCGATTATAGTTTGCTTATTTTTTATGCATTAAAATCCTAGAAAGAAAAAAAATTGCTATTAATTTAACTATATAATTTATAGTCATTTTTACAGTGTCAACTATATTAATATTTTTTAATAGAACTATAAATATAATAAATACTAATATTATAACAGTAATAACTATAGCTCCTAATCGTAACTATTTTATAGTCATATGCAATTATAATAAATTCCAAATATACTTGTCTTTCAGTAATAATATCAGAAACGTCTTTCAGTAATAATATCAACGCAAATTAAAAACCGACCGATTTTAATATATAGTATTGTACTATTTTTAATTTTTATGCTCTTACTTTTATGATAAAATTGTTAAAATAATGGTAATTAATCTTTTAATAATAAATCATCGCAAGGATGAAACAAATGAAACAAATGAGACTATAGTGAAATTGAAATAATAAAGATATGAAATATGGTGTTGTTGATGGTGATTAAGTGTTTAGTTAGAAGTTAGGTACTGGTAGAGTATTATTTGCTAAGCTAATGAGTAGTTTCCACGTTGTTCGGCAATCAACAAAGGTGAACAAAGGACTTCCGGTCACGTCGACAGACCGTCGAGGACTCTGCCACCCGTCTAATTTGAACTCCTTCACGCGACAACTTCGCTAACAGTAGTGACGGTGCTATGTAAACAGCTGCACTTCCCTCGCTGTTAAGTACGTTGTGTTAAGAATTAACCCACCCGAAAGCATGTACGGTGTAATAGTAAAGGACACACTTGATAAATAATGTAATATTTTCTTTAAAAAGTTTTGCAAAGTAACTTTTCACTTCCTTCGAATTTCTAATTTTCTTCATTGTTTTTGATTTTCACAGAAATACTTTTTGTCCAACTTTTTTATTAATAAGTAATTCTTACGACCAAAATAATTTTTTCGGAAATAAAAGCCCAAGCACTTAAGATTCCGCTTGACTGCTAGGTGGTATTTATTCCCTATATATATTTGTTATATAATTTTTACATTCTACAATATAAATTTTATTATTATTATTCAAATTTAATTACGCATATTAAGAAAGCTTGTTTTATGCGAAAAAAAACGTAACAATAAATCTTTCCTGTGATATTTTCTGTTTCTGAATTAATAACGCAACAAGAACAAGATATTAATGATCTTACGTCCAAAGCAAATACGTGGAGGTAAACATGAATTTATTCAGCAAGCATACGTGAATATATCGATACACGAATGAAAGAGCTCTCTCAAAGACAGATAACGAGGCAGTAAAAATAACGATATGCGCCATGCCGAGCGTGCAATTTCCTAATGTGGCCATTTCACCGATGGCTAAAAACATCTTTGATTATTCGCGTAATAAGCGAATGGCACGAGTTAAAGTGCTAATGGGCGAGCGATAATCATTCGGACGCGGATCTAAGGAACACGGAAGAGCCGGCACTTCAACATCCGATGCAATTTTTACTCTTTCGCAGAATTTTCTGCATTCCTCTCTTTTTATTCTGCAACAACCGCAACGTACCCTGCTAACAAAGTGTGTTAATGGCGCGTGGCTGATTAAAGGTTGTAATCCTGATGTCCGTAACTTCAGCTCTTCTTTCGCGCGCGTTTTCATCTGAAGAGACGAGAAAATAAAAGGTAACGCTCTTTGTTCGCGACTGACTCATCGAGTTCGTCGGTCATTAAAGTCAATCTTCAATGAAAAGTTGCCGTCGTATTGCTTCACTCAGCCGCGCTAGAGAACGCGAAAATGCATACTACACTCGTGGGACCGAACCTCCTCGAGCATGGGGAAACGAGTGCGTCTCGTATTTCTTATTTTACGGAAGGTAGCGCGGTATTCCGCGGAAAATGCACAGTAAGTATCCTCTCTCGAGAACCCGAAGAGAGACTGAAAATATATATCGCTTAAGGGAATACTACAAAATCGAATAAGGATACGTAGACATTGCTGGCCTACAAGCAACACGATCGTAACGTTTCGAAATATAATCGATAAGATATATTTTTATTACTATACAGTAATATTGCAGTAAACGCTAACATTATTTCGAGTAACTATCAGTGGAAAACATTTCTGTTAATTAAATTAAAACATTTTTCGTTGATAAGATCAATTGGAACATTTTAGAACAGTCGTAGACTCAAGATAACAGAGACTCATTTTTACTAAGGAAATTGCACGACGTACTTTATGACGTGCTTCTCTTTTTTCTAATTTAGATAAATAAACGCGAAAATGAGCGATAAATCTCACGGATACTTGGTGCAACATCGGAAATCATTCACGTTCGTGTAATTTCCGGTCGAGTTAAGAGAAGCGTTTAGCAATCCATTTTCCGCATTTTAACGGCGCTTCGATAAGAACGCACTGATGGAACGATGTCGCAATGCTTTGGTATAAAGCTGCGTTACGAAGCGTCGCAATTTTGTTAAACGCATCACCCAACATGCTCCGACTTCTTTTCTTCGTGTTGTTAATATTCTCGGCCGTTTCGACTGAGTCATGTATCAGTCAGGATACGAAGGTACGGAGAATCAACTTAATCTTACCGTGCAGACGCGTAGTGCAAACTATAATGTTAAACCGTGATTATGTGCTAATTTCACTTGGTCGTTCCGTCTTAGGATCCGGACATTCGGATGATCGAATTGGAAGATTCCAGCAAAGACTCCGTGAGTAAACATCACGGATTTCACACACATCATTCTTCTCCATGTTTGTTGCAATTCTAATTATCATTCACTAATGTAGTTTTGTGTTAATATTACATCTCTGGATTTTGACACAAGGAGAGAATTTTCATCGATTTTTATCGAATATATATCTCACCTTTATCGAATAAATCTTTCTTCATTTATTTGTGTAAATATTTTGTTTTAGAATAATTTATAATCTATTTGATAATTTTTATTATATAATTGATAAAATGTCTTTTATATACTTAAAAAATTCCTATCATTACTGATATTTAATAAGTTGCCAAATTATTTTCTATCCAAAGAGTAGAATTTGTAAGGGTAGAATTTTGCGGTAAAATATAATAATAAAAAATTCTCCATGTATGCTCCTACGATTATCCTGTAATAATATTATTTTTTATGTTTTTCTAAGAGCGAATCAGAAATCGTTGCTATACACTTCCCAGATAGACGAAGAAGGGAAATCGAAGTCAAAAAAGAGAAAAAAAGCAGCAACTTATGCAAAAACGATGATGATTGTAATTCAGGATTAAACTGTTTAGCACTGACTTGCGGTAAAGTACTATTTATATAAATTTTTCAAATGAAACGAATTTATTTAAAACGAATAAAAATTTACTTCAATCGATAATGAAAATATTGTTTTTCTATAATTATAATAATAATAACAACATTTGATATAATAGAAATGAAATAATAAAAATATTTGAAAAAATAAATAACATCTCGAACATCTTTTCTTGTGCAGTAAAAGAGCGGATAAATCCTCAGAAAACAGCCAATTAAAACAATGTAAATAAGGAAAGGAAGCAATAAGGAAATGATGGTGACGTAACGACAATTTGGCAATTTCATATATTATAACAGTATACCGATGAAATTTTTTGTGGAGTAATCTTGTTGCCCTCGCCGAACAATAAGTGTGTTTGCTTCAATCCAATGATCGATTTGCCATTATCATCAATATCTAGCGGATATCTGTTTGTTTATCTATATTTCGCACGCCGATAGAATTTTCCACTGTACATCCGTCCATTGTCAATGCATGAATATAACATAAACCGAAAATATCGGACATTTAATGGCGACCCGGCTATGGTCGCGGACGCATGTAGTAAAGCGGTTAAGTTACATTTTACACGCGGATTTGGAATACCCAGCGAGAGGGATACAACCGGTGTAAAAGCTCTCCGCCCCTTCTTCGCCTTAAAAAAAAAAAAACAAACAAAAAAAACAAACAATATCGTCGGGGAAACATATGGCGCCGTATGATAGGGACTCATTAACGACAAAGAAACGAAGCAATGCGAGTGAAGAGCACCGTAAGAAAAGAGGGTTAGCCCTCTCATCGTCGTAAATTTAGTGGGAACAACTGCTTTTGCCTACAAGCTCTGCTTGCAGTCTCATCGCAACCGCAATCCCGATCGAAGCGGCAACGTCGTCGAAAAATCTTACATTAGAGATTTACACTCGAAATCAATTAGCTCTTAATTGACACGGATGAAATCGCGCGAGTTTTATTAGGAAATCATCGGATATTGGCGATGTGTCGATCGTGAAAGTTAGTCTCGATGTCGCTTGGGAGATTATCAGCGCAAAAGACTTTCGGTGTAGGAGAAAACTTCTGTTATAGTCTAAGTAATAATAAATATCCCAGGTGACGGTTATATACATGAATAAAATATTATAATGAATTATAAAATTAACCAGATAACAATGTAAAATAAATGTTGCATGTCTCAAAGTTGTATGCGTCTCTGCTAAAAGCCAATCAATTATTCACTGATGCATCTATCCTATACGCGTTTGGCGATGCAAAAATAAATATCGTGTCCAATAACGTACGGGGAAATCGGAGGAAATTGTTGGTCTCGACGAGAGAGCAGCCAGTTGGTGTCTCGTAAAACCTCACAGCGAAACTCAACGGCGGCGCGGAAAGATTTACGATTCCAGCAAGAAGAAGCGTAACATCCGTAATATCCTTTCTTCGCGAAGAGGTGGACGGTGATTTTTCATGCGGGCCATTCTTCTCTCGTCACGGAGCTTCGTTTAATTTTATTTTAATACGGAAAAAATGGATTCTCCCTCCCTGTAACGCGCGTAACGACGGTGAAGCACCCGAAGAGATTCGCGAGGGAGAGACGGTCGTAAATATTTGCACAATTCGTTGGCGTGGCGTCTGGTAACACGCAAACGCCCAAATTTCGGATACGTCAAAATATTTAGGACCGAGGGCGCAATTAACGGAACCCACTTTTACTCCTGTGATTGGTACCGAAAACGCGGTTTCTCTCATTCGTCGCTTTCTGCCACTTTTTTGTCAGCAGAAAAGCGATTCACTTCCATTATTTCGCACGAAATGTCATAAAGATACATTTTTGATATTATTTAATCAGATGGAACTTAAAAAATTTAAATTGATACATCGATTGACATTTCCTCGATAGCTTTTTATAGCTCATATAAAATATAAGTGGAAAAGTAAGGAGAGGTGGTATTATGGCTAGTGTAGATATATAATGACCCTTCTTATAATATCTCCGCTATTAAGTAGCGAATTCTAGTGATTACTTATGGAATTATTTGCTTAATAGTTATACCGTATCGTTATACCTTAATATGCCAGCATTTATTATAAAGCATTTTTACTTTCAATTTTTACTTTCAAGCATTTAAAAAA